CTCCCGCGCCCCTCACACCTCACGACCCCGGACTTACGGCCGCCCGCTCCCGCGCCCCTCACACCTCACGACCCCGGACTTACGGCCGCCCGCTCGGCCTCCCGCTCCCGCTCCCGCTCCCGCTCTCGCTCCTTCTCCTTTTCTTTCTCCCGCTCTCGCTCCTCTCGGGCTTTCTGCTCAGCCTCACGCTTGGCCTTCTCGATGGCCTCCTCCCTCTTCTTGGCCAGCTTGGACCCAGCCAGAGGCATGAAGTACAGATCTGTCCGTGCACACGAGTTGTAGCCCCGGTCCAGGTGTTTGTAGAACCTGAGAAAAGCCAGAGATCTTGCCGGGAGCTCCTGCCAAGACCGACCGCGGGCCCTGCCTCCCACCAGCCCACCTCTGCCTGCCCTGCACCCAGAGCCCTAGGAAGTATACCTAGCAGACTGGCTGGCGTGGCTGGGGGTGTCCACCACAGTGGGCTCAGGAGATGGGCTCCTTGGAGGGGGAGGGGGGCTCTCGGGCTCCTCAGCATCGTCCAGGGCCTCCTCCTTGATCTGGACAGTGGGGAGTGGGCAGGATGACCCCCCCACTATGCTGCCTCCTGAAGTCACCGCAACAGAGCAGGGTGGCTGGGCCGAGGTGCCAGGTCCAGCCGGTGGCGTGGAGGTGGAAGGGCAGGTCGGAGGGGTGATAGGAGGAGGGCCCCCAGGGACAAAGGGGTGCTGAGCAAATGGGGGCTGGGAGGCCACCTGGTGGAGGCCTGTAGGGGGGTGGGAGGCAGGAGGTGGGGGCAGGCTCTGGCTCTGGGTCAGCCCAGGGGGCTGGGCGGGGGAGGAGGGCAATGGCTGGCTCTGAGGCATGAGCTGCAGGGGTGGGGGGTGGGCCGAGGGTGGGTGGTGTGTGGACAGGGAGCTCAGGGGCTTCAGGGCTGGAGGGGGTGGCAGGTTGGCATTCATGCAGAAGGGTGAAGGCCCCGAGAGGTGGGGAGGGTGCTTGTGGGCCTGTGGCGCCGGCAGCTGGGGGATGGGAGTTGTGGGTGGGGGCTTGATGTGGGGCATGGCCAAGGGTGCTGGTGGCAGGGGCTGCTCCCGTGGCGGCTGTTGGGACTGCATTGCAGACTGAGAGGCTGGCAGCTGCAGGGAGGTGTGAGGGTGCGCTGCTGCCGGGGAGGTCCCCAGAGGGGGCTGGGCTTGGGAAGCCTGGGGAGGGAGGCCAAACGGCTGCGGGGCGCCTGGGTGCTGTAGCAGGGGCCCAGCCTGCAGGCTGTGAGGGCCAGGTGGGCCCTGACCATGCAGAGGGGGCTGGGCGTGAGGGGGTGCGGAGGGCTGGCCCGTAGACCCAGTCAGAGGCTGCAGCGGGGTATGCGGCGAGGGCAGACGTTGGGGGTGCAGGGCGGGGGCCTGTTGGATGTGGGTGTGGGGGGCAGGTGCTGTGGGAGCCTGCGGCTGGTGAGTGGCCTGGGAGGCCGTGGGGGAACCCTGTGGGGGCACTGCAGTGGCAGAGGGCATGGGCCCTGGCGTGGGCAGCTGGGGTGTCCCTGGAGGAGCTGCAGAGGGAGCTGGGGCAACCCCGGTGGGAGCCTGCAAGGCTGGGGGCTGGGCCTGCAGCATCTGCTGCTGGGCTGATGAGTCCGAGTCACTCTCATTGTCCTGGGGGCTGGGGATGCTCGGGGACGTGCTGCGATTGTCCTGGTCGATGTCTTTGGGGTCACTGCTGCCCTCATCGTTGACGCTGCGACTGTCTGAACTCTCTCCCTCACCTTCAGATGGTGAGTTGGGTCGGCTGATCTCCTGGAGTCAGAGAAGGGAAGGATGGAAGTCTCAGGAGGGCAGAGCCCTCTTTGCTCAGCACTGCCAGTGTCTAACACAATAAGGGTTTGCGCAGATGAAGCACAGGCTTGGCTCCAGGACCATAGGTCCTGCCCCCACCCAGCCAGTGGCAAGGGCCACTCCAGCCCCGCCCTGGGAGATGGGGCACAGCTACCTGACTGGGAGAACCCAGGCTGGGGGCTTCTGAAGACTCATTAGCTTTAATCCGCAAGGCTCAGCGGCAAACCTCACCTGCGTTTTTGTCTTCTTGGAGCTGGTCCTGTCAGCCTCCTCCGTATCAGAGGCCACCTTCTCCCGCTGGCGTTTGGTGCTCTTAAGAGGGGAAGAAGCTTCCTCCTTCACCTTCTGCAGGGGGAAAGCCCACAAAGAGCAATCAAGCCAAGGGAGGCCATCCCATCAGCCTCAGCAGGGAAATGACGATGGTTTGTAGATATTTTGCTCCCTCATTCTGAGTTCCATCTCCAGGAGCAAAAAGCTCCAGAAGAATCAACTGGGGCCAGGGAGAACACACATCTGGGGGTAGGAGTGAGTCAGTCCTCCACATCTGTGGGCTTTACATCCTCAGATTCAAACAACCATGGATGAAAATGTAGTCAGGACCGTGACGGTTACGTCTGTACTGAATGTACCCACTGTTTTCTTGTCACTATCTCCCACACAAGACAGAGGAACCACTGTTTACTGCAGTTACATAGTATTGGGCAACAGAAGTCACCTAGGGATGATTCAGAATCTACAGAAGTATGTGACTGGTTATATGCAAACACTGTGTCAATGTATATAAGAGACCTGAGCACCCGTGGACTCTGGTATCCTGGGTGATGGGGGCTCTGGAACCAATCTCCAATGGATGCTGAGGGAGGGCTGCACCTGGCTCTGGAGGGAGCCCTTCCAACCACTCCCCACACTATCTACCTTTGAGAACTCGGGAATCTCGAGGCACAGGTGGCCCCCAGGATTGGTGCTGGATCCCCCTTCTCTAAGCCCCCGGTCCCCACTCTGCAGCCCCTAGGCCAGGACAATGCTGGTGCCCAGAGAAGCTCCGTGAATGAACTTCATATCCATGTCTGAGGGAGCTGAACACAAACACCAGCGACCCAGTTTTAATGGGAGGGAAGGACAGAGTAGCCCCTACCACTGCCCCAGCACCTGACCTTGGCCGACTTCTTCACTGTCTCTGCTTTACTGTCATTGCTGGAGGTGCTGGCAGCGCTGGGGGAGTTCCGGCCGCTGGAGCGGATGTCTTCATTGATGGGTGAGGTGCGACCATCAGGGCTGGCTGGCTGCTTCTTCCGACCACTTCGTAGTGTCGACATCTAACCACCCAAACCAAAGACTGGTGACACCGGATTCCCGGTCCCCACATGGGCCCACCTGAGCCCAACCCACAGGCAGGAGCCTGAAGAGCACACCCCAGCAGCCTCTTAGTAAATCCTAGGCCTTGGCAAACACAGGCACCCTGCCTGTCCCTGGCTGCATGAAGGTCAGTGTGGAGCTCAGGGAAGAGGTGGGGAAGTAGGTGGGCTCATGCCAGAGAACGGTTCTCAAACCTAAAGCACTCATCCTGAGGGACTGTCCTGAACAACGTGTGCTGGAATGAATGAACCATGCTTTCTGAGCAGCAGAAAGTCACCTGGGGCCATCTTTAAAGCACCCTGCCCTTTCTGTTTATTCCTCATAACTGTCCCCTCTCCCAAACAAACCAAATGAAATCAAACACTTGTGGATTTCATCTGACAGGATAGGAAGTGACCCAGAGATGAAGCTGTGAAATAAAGTAGCTCAGCTCTCCAAGCCGCCGAGTGCTTCGCTGTTTCTGCAAAGCCATGAGGGCTCAGAAGAGATCAGGAAATAACAGTTGTGGCTGGTTGACCTGTTCCCTTCTGAATGAGCAGTGGCGGGGCTGCCAGCAGCAGCAGCGACAGGACACAAGGAGCAGAGGAAGGTGGATGGTCCCACCCACCTGTCAGAAGGGGCTACAGGGGAGGCTCCTGGGAAAGACTGTCAGTACCCTTAACCCCAAACCTGGAAAAAGCCTCTCCCAAAGTCTCTGGCACATTTCCAACCTAGGAAACAAAGTCTCTTTATAAGAGGAGCTAGGCAGTGAGCAGAAAAATGTACCAGAAGTTTCCAAAACAAGATCAAACATTTAAAAAACAAAAAAACCCCACCAAACTCCAAAGAGCCTTCGAGTTTAAAATAGCAGAGATTTGCTACAATGGAGGTGACCCTGGGCCGCAAGAAGCTCCGAGGGCCTTGGAGAGGCTGCACTGAGCCAGAAGCTAAGAGCTCACTATAAAATCCAGGGCAGGACACCACCCTAAGAGCCCGCTCAGAGAAGAGAACAGAGGGTTCTTCCCAGCCCCACAGGCAAGCTACCGCCTTGGGCAAAGCAGTTCCCCTCCAGGGCTTTGTTTCTACCTAAAACAAGACTTTTGCTTTCTCCTCCTTATGGGCGCAAGCCCCCAAGCATCCCAGGAAAATGAAGAAGTTGCCAGGAGCCCCACGGACCCAGGGGACTCACCGAGCCCCGACTCCGCCGTGTCCTCATGCTATGCTTCCCACTGAGCCCATCATCTTCTTCCTTGACAGGTTTGAACATAAATGGTGGCGGGTCCACGGGCTTCTCGATGGGCGGGAGCTCACCGTATTTCTTGAAATGGATGCGACAGTCGGTGCAGAGCAGGATGTTCTCCCGGCCTCCGTGGTGCCAATCTTTGGAGGCTGTGTGACAGAAGTGGCAGGGGCCAACCTTGGAAACCATCCCTCTCCCTGGGGATGTCTGGGCAGAGGGCCCTTCTGTGGGCTCTACACAAACCTGATGCCACCAGCACCATGCAGGCCTGGGCCTCAATACCCCAGAGCTAGTGCTGCCCTGCTCCCCCAAGGCCAGGAGAGGATTTTGGAACATCTGCTGCCCACTCCATCTTGGGGTGCTCAGGAAAAGCTGGCAGCAAGCTTCTGGGAACCACAGCGTCAAACCCCGACCCCACTCAGTCTGTCCTGCCTATTAGTCAGAATTCCATACCAACTGCTAAGCAGGGGAAGGAAGTAAACTAAACATTTCTAATGTTCTCCAATCCTGAAGCACAATGCAAGTGTCAAATCAAGTACCGCCCCTGGCAGGTTTCTAGCTGGATACATGAAATGTTCAGAACATGAAAGTGCTTGTGCTCTGGGCCCCAAACCAGGGGTGTGACAGGTCACTTACTGGTGGTGAAGCAGTGGCGGCAGGCGTACCCCTTCAGCTCCTGCTCGCTGTCCTCACTGTCAAAGTCATCCTCACTGGCTGAACTCAGGTCCACTGGGTGTGGCAGGCACACAGGGCGGATGGGGAAGACACCATTATGCTCAGTCAAAGCAGGGCCCCTGTGACCTCTGGCCTGCTGCAGGTTCTGGCCACCAGTCAGAGCAACAGGCTGCACAGGCTGAGGTGGGACAGTGTCTGTAAAGGATCACTTCGAGACCCTCAGGGCCAGTCACCAGAACAGAGGGCCTGCATGTGAGGGGCTGTACTGAAGGGCCTGCCCTGCCACTGATGTCCATAATGGGTGCGTCTGAACTAGGACAAGTGCGTCCGTGCCACCCTCCCTAATAGGCCCAGGCAATCCTGAGAAAGTCCGTCTTCACTGAGCATCCCCCACCAGTCCTACTAGGTGATTTCTGGCTGCCTGCATGAACAACACAGGCACCCCTCAGGTCCAGCATCGTGGGCCGCAACAGAGCTATAATGTACTTTTGCTACACCCCAGCTTTTTAGGGGTGAGAAGGTGTGGGCTCCAGTATCATTAGATTATACATCATACTGGAACCAAAAAGAGGATCTTGGTACAACAAGTGGAAAAAAAAGAAAGTGTTAATCTGATCTTAATACAGCCAAAAGTACAATGAGAATTCAAACAGGAAATCAAGTACATCATCCATCAACTGGAAAACCTTCCCAGGCCAAGGCCCAAAAACATCCCAGGCCAAGACTTATATATTCTATAAAAACCTAAGATGATGTTGAGTTCATCAGAAATATTTAAATGTGCAAATAATTTTTAAACTCCCTTCTGAATCCGTGCTCTGCTCCAGCCGCCACCATTAGTCTGTATTAGGTCAAGCCTCACATGTGTACTGGAGCACAGGCGCACGCCCCCTCCGTGCTTCCCAAGGCCACCAGCTCCTACGGGCCCAGAGTGGGACAGGCTGCCTGTGAATAGTCTGTCCTCCACCCACGGTGGTGCCAAGACCCCTACTCACGGAATTCACTGGACGGGGGTCTGGAGGGTGTGTTGACAGGTGTGGACGCAGTGCGAGTCTTAATCCTCCTGAACACGGCCTGCCTGCGGTGCCTACGATGGGCCCGGGAACTGGCGGCTTCGGGGGTCTTCTTCCAATAGTAATAGAAGGTGATCAGCTCCCCCTGCAAAAGAGAAGGGCTGGTTGTGGGAGGGCCTGGGGCTTTTCCGTGCCACACTGCACCCTCTCTGCTGTAGTAGAAAGCTGGGTGTGCAGTAGTTGCACCAGAGATGAGAATAAAGACCAGTCGCTCCTGGAGTGGGGAGAGGAACTGGGCTCAAGAAACAAACAGCCACTGAGCTGCCTGTGGACTGCATGAATGGGGCCTGCCTCCTCAGCCCAGGAGAGCCTGACTTCCAGACACTTAGAACAAGCCTTTGTTGGGTGTCCACTATGTCAGACCCTACCACATTGTGCGTACGGAAGGTACACAACCCACAACAGACCAAAAGGAGAGAAGATTCCTGCCCACGGGGAGCTTCCATTCTAGCTGTATGTGTATACATGTGAGTCTGTGCATGTGTGTGTAAACGCAATGATGCTTTCTTCACAGTATGCCAGTGAAATCACACAGGTATGAGCAGGAAACGCCTGGCCAGTTAAACTCCCCCAGAAACAACCAACCGATGAAAGCAAACTGCCGAGGTGGTGAGGAGCCAGGGCCAAGCAGAAGGTCGAGAACTGAGACCGCACACTCAGGAAACTGCTACACAGCTTCCACCCGGCTCCATCTGAAGGCCCACATCTGACATGCCGACACAAAGTCCAGAAGCAAGGACTGGGCTTGACAAAGAAAGACTACAAGAGGACAGACACACAGCAGTGCTGATGTCAAGATGAAATGTCACACACCACAAGGTCAGGCTTTTTTTCATGGCCCAGCAGGAAGGGAAGCAAGGCATCTTTTTGGAAATACGGTAAATGTAAGCTTTTTAAAGAAAGGGCACTTTGGGCGCCCCTAGCCCTCAGGGCGCTGCAGGCTGCTGTCTCACCCCATACACAAAAGATGATTTTTTAAAAACAAACATCCCAAGATAAAGTCTCTTTACCTAGAATTAAAAAAAAAAAAATCACAGCAAATGAGCGAGCATAGATGACCCGGTTCCCCTCTAATTAAATCAACACTGTAGAAAGTCTATTAGCTTGGCGACTAGATGCTGGGAGCTGTCTTGGAGGTGCCTGCACCCCGACTCTGCCTCATCAAACACTGTCTTGTGAATGTGGGAGCCAAAAAGAGAGAGGGCAACGTACGGGATGGAAAGACTAGTGTTAGAAGGACTAAAATAGACAATCCAAACAAAGACACGTAGCTGCCACATGACAATTTCACCCAATCAGACCAGGTTTCATCCAAAACAACCCCAGAGGCAACGGCCTCAGAACAGTGACAAGAGAAGTGGGCAGATTTTAGGTGGGGGAATGGCTTCTGCAAAGCAGGGGATGCCTGTGCATTTGAGTACTTTACTGCCTACAAATGCATTTTCTGCCTGGGCATTTTTCTAAGAAGTGGGACCACAGCTGTGTCCCTAAAGGAGGGCTGGAATGCCTTGAAGGAGGGATGGCTGGCTGGCTTATAAAGCCTCTCACATGGATCTCCTGGAGCGCTGGATGTGTCTCAACCACCCTAGCACTTAATGCTTCACAAATGACTCCTAATTGCCAATACCTTAGCAGATGAAGCACAATCCCAAGCCAGCGGGGCCAGGGAGCCACCTCAGGACAAGCACATTCATGTCCCTATATGCATGTGCATGTGCCCACCCCTCAGTTCCATGAGATGGCAACTGAATGATAAGGGGAAATGCAGATATTGCCACTGGAATTTGGACTGGCTTATCTGTCCCACGCTGGTCTAGGAATGCTGGCTCCAACTGTCCCAGTGGGGATAGCATCCTGGGCCCTAAGGTCATGATCTGCGAACCTCCTAGCTCTTTTCACTTCAGCTTTCAGGACTTGGAAATGCATTTATCTATGCTGATCCTTGGGTGTTGGCTAGAGGGAACAGACTTGTAAATCCTGCTAGGGGATGACTAGATCACTGCTGACATAAATGCTGGCTTGTGTCTGGTTTTCCTCTGAGAAAATATGGAAGAGAAGTCAAGGCAGGGAGCAGTCACACTCCAAATACTCTGTCCAAGTGTCATGCTTCATGAGCTCAAAAGAGTAACTGGTGCTGTGATAAGTCACAGCCCAGTTCCAGAGCTTGAAAGAGTGAGAAAAAACTCATAGTGGTTCCCTCTACTTCCTCCTTCAGTCCAAGTCATTTTAGGGGCTACTGAATGATAAAAGCTTGGGATGTAAGAAGAAATGCAAAGCTATAGGAGACAAAAGGGAACAAAAATGAGAGCGCAAAATTGAGTGGGAAGGTGGTACCTGCGCCTCTGCCAGGCCTCCGCATCTTACTTGAAGGCTGTCAGAAAGCAGCAACCTGACATTTCTAAACGGCATCTGTCTATAATGCAATATTGCTATACACAGTTACAATCAATTATCTCTATTTCTCAAATACATATGTTTTGAAATGGCTTTAAAAGATAGTAACCTATAGACCTCAGGCTGAGGGAAGAAGCTAGGCAGGGTGCAGCAGCTTACACCTGTAATCCCAGTACTTAGGGAGGCTGAGGCAGGAGTATCCCTTGAGGCCAGGAGTTCAAGACCAGTCTGGGCAACATAGTGAGACTTAGTTCCCCCCACCTCAAAAAAAAAAAAAAAAAAAAATTAGCCAGGCATGGCTGGTGTGCACTGGCAGACTCAGCTACCTGGAAGGCCAAGGCGGGAGGACTGCTTGAGGCCAGGAGCTCAAGACAAGCCTGAGCAACAATCTCTACAAAAAAGTTTTTAAAAAAATTAGACCAGCGTGGTGGTGCCTGTAATACCAGCCTCTCAGGAAGCTGAGGCAGGAGGATCACTTGAGCCCAGGAGGCTGAGGCTGCAATGAGCTACAACTGTGCCACTGCACTCCAGCCTGGGCAACAGAGCAAGACACCACCTCTTTAAAAAATAAAATAAAACTTAAAAAGGAGAAGCCAGGGTTTAGAGAGGTAAGAAAGTGCTCCATGTCAGACAGAACAAAGGCTTAACTTTCATACCTTTGCTCCTGGCACCACTGTTCTCTGCTAACAAGTGAGAAAATCAAGACCCAAAAGAAAAAAAATCTAACATTGAAATCAATATAAACTTTTTTTTGACACTTAGGTAACACCCTTGAAAGAAGTAGTCCAGACCAGATTTCCTCATCTGAGTGCCAAAGATGAAAATGACCAGGCAAGGACTGTCCTCCATAGCAGTGAAGTCACAGGTGGTCAGAATGGTAAACTTACAATTCAGGAAGGTGACAGAGTGACTAGAACCATCATACACTGCTGGTGGAAATATGGAATACTCAAACTATGATATCTACCAAACAACCCAGCAATACTTCTCCTATTTACCCAAAAAAAAAAAAAAAAAAAAAAAAAAAACCTCACACAAAGACTTTCACAGATACATCATAGAAACTTTATTCTTAATAGTCCAAACTGGACACAACCTACATGCCCACGAGCAGGAGAATGGATAAACAAATAATGGTAACCCCATGCACCGGACTACGACTTGGCAATGAAAAGGCACAGACCACTGACACAGGCAATGCCATGGGTAACTGTCAAAAACACCAAGCTGCATGAAAGCAGGCAGACAGGGGCATGCCGCATGACTCCTTTCCAGAAATCACAAAAAAACAAATGAGTGGTTGCCCAGAGCCTGGAGGTGGGGGACGAGAAACAAAAAAAACTCAGGCAAACATTCTGGGGTGATGAAAATGCTCTGTAAGTTGAAATGTGGTATCATTCACACAAATGTATATGGTGGTCAAAAGTCACGAAAACTGTGTACTTAAAGTGGGTGCATTTTTGTGGTATTCATACCACAGATGGCAGGTATACCAATTTTACGTCAACAAAGTTGATTAAACAACAACAACAAATCCAGGCCAGGTTTTATTAGCTGCCTCTCAACCACTGTAATGTCTACCAAGGGATTAAACGCTGGAATGGAGCGAGTCTAGGAGGATTGGAAACAGCATACCGGTGACTGCATGGGTGGCAAGGTCTTGAGCACAAACAAAAGAACAAACATGTCGGGGAAAGCTTTGGTTCTACAAATAGGGAGTGAAGCAGCTAGAGGCCCCACCAGGAATGAAGTCAATTGAACTTTAATCAAACATGCATAGTGTGTGCTGCAGAGACCCGCGGCACATACATTCAGGGAACAAAAGCGGTTGCAGAAATCAATAGCTTACTGAAACATTAACACAGGCAATCATTAATCAAAAGGCAGCTCCACAAAGGCAGCCTTGCAAATTAGCTCCTGCTTTTGCTTGCAAGCAAACACAGAGGTGTAAATGTTGTCGACATGAATGGCCTATAATGATCATTTTGTTCCCGATGCTCTCACCCCATCTCACAACAAGGTCTCACAGTCAGCATATCTTACATCTTGGTGCTATAATTGCACACAGCATGAGGAACTCAACTGGTTTAGTGCCTGGGCAGAAATGGGAAAGGAAGGGGGCGAAGTCATCTCCAACTGACAGCGTTACCGGCTGCAGCTCTTGTCAAGAGAAGTGCTCAAATCCATTGGGCTATATTTAGTAGATTCTCTCTCCTTTCCTTTTTCTTTTGGTGGTGGGGGGCTGAATTTTTCCCATAGGTCATATGCAAAAAGCCATTGGCAATGATAGGAGCTTGGCTCCTGGACTTAAGAGTCTGTTCCCAGCAGAGGTGTCTTTCCAGGTTATACACTAAGATGGACTTAGGAAAATAGCACCATTAGGTTCCTTTAACTTCCCATAAAAAGAAAAACCAGGGGAAGAAAAAAGAAAAACACACAAAGATCAGAGAGGGAAGAAGAAATAAGCTGCTTGGCACCAGCAGTCTGGGTGAGGGGGCTGCTGAGCTCAGGCCACTTTCTCCTCCTCAGCCACCACTTTACTTCTGTCCTGTCCAGGAATAGGCTGCAAGTCTATCAAGTTCACACACATACAACATAAGACATGGCGCAGCTCTTGAAGAGCTCCCTCTGCTGCCTGGGCAATATGGGTTGGAGCAACAGGGGCCGGAGCTGCCCACCTCCTAGAGGCAG